TTTAGATTGGCAGCCTGCAGGCAAGGGCTGTCCTGTTTTTATTGATCAAACGTAAGCTGTTATCTGGAAGAGTTTCTGGCTGAAGAGCAGGCTGCGAACATGTTGTAAATTATATTCCTGCTATTATATTATCGGTGGTGATTGACATTGTTGTGATTTAATGGTATTTAATTGTGATCTTATGCCAGCTGAAACCATTTTTGATCACCTACTCCAGAAACTAATGGGGAAAGACGTGATATAAATGTCTTAAATAAAATCATCATCGTTCCATTGTGGGGAAGGATTTCATAATAGTTTAAGGCCTGCCCACAGAGGACCAAAGAAATTTCAAAGACATACTACAGTCACAGGACATTGCCTAAGGCCAAACACACCCCGGCTGACTTATTCCTTCCCTGGGGTGCATGACATAGGTCTGAAACTGGATTTTCTTGTGGAAAACCCGCTGGTTAGCAATTCTGCTATGCGTCAGTGGGAGAGAAACAAACGTACATTTGCTACTTATGCTTTGAATCCCATGTAATGAGGTTATGCAAGACAGAGTTCACAACTGAGGTAGTAGCAACAAGAACATAGCTATGTAGTTTGGGACCCAGGACCATGATACAAATTTGCATTTGTTAATATTGAGGTATTGGGTAGATTAAGATGGCAGATAGCTGGAGCATAATCAGCACTGTGCTTTGCAGTGCACTCTGCTGCCCTTTGGGACGCGGGTGGCGCTGTGGGTAAAAGCCTCAGCGCCTAGGGCTTGCCGATCGAAAGGTCGGTGGTTCGAATCCCCGCGGCGGGGTGCGCTCCCGTTGTTCGGTCCCAGCGCCTGCCAACCTAGCAGTTCGAAAGCACCCCTGGGTGCAAGTAGATAAATAGGGACCGCTTACTAGCGGGAAGGTAAACGGCGTTTCCGTGTGCTGCACTGGCTCGCCAGGGCAGCAATGTCACGCTGGCCACGTGACCCGGAAGTCTCTCCGGACCCCGACCTCTAGAGTGAGATGGGCGCACAACCCTAGAGTCTGTCAAGACTGGCCCGTACGGGCAGGGGTACCTTTACCTTTACCTTTTGCTGCCCTTAAAAGCAGATACATGCAGGTTTGGGGTGGGTTTTTTTTTCAACTTTAAAAAGGGTATGGGGCTGTAGATCTGGAGCCTGTTGCAAAAGACCTGGGGCTATGGCCCCCTGGCTAGGTCACCTTTTAACAATGTCCCTGACCACCAATATACATCAAGGACTCCAGTACAACTTTGAAATTAATCTGAGTCTCTTGCACGCTTGTTCTTTCTGCTTGTTATAAATATTACTGGAAGCAGCCTGTGCAGAGGTAACTGTAACACACAGTCTGTTCTTTTTGAACAACCCTTCATGAAAGGCTTAGAAACGCTCTCACAATCATAACCTCCTTCCAGGCATCTGAAAGCCTGAAAATGTAACGAAGGAAATAAACATTGTTTTGCTCCTCCAATGGTCCTGAGACGATGATAATAATAATGTAATTTGACGTGCAAGTACTTTTCTCTGAGTTAAAAGCTAAATGAGGGTTTGGGGTTGTTTTTTATTGTAAAGCATGCATGGCCCTGAACACAATGGTCTGCATCTATTCTATAGATACAGGATCTTAAATCCTATTGAAAATCAATGGTGCTTGGCTCCAGCTGTGAGCTGGATTGCTGCCAATGTGTGAATTTTCCTTCCACTGTGAGGCACACAGACACAGGGCCAGTTCCCACTCTCTGTGGCAACGCTGTACACACAGCTGGGCATCAGGGCTGTGTGCCCTTCCCACTGCTCTGAGTCTTAATTACAAAGGTGTGTGTGTGTGAAGTGAGCTGTATTGCTGTTCATCCAAAAGGGCTGGAAGGATTACAGAGGTCCAGCATATCCATGCCAGGCTGTACATATCCTTTGCCTCATGCCACCTATTATCTTGGTACATGGGTGAGGGTGGCGGGGAGAGGGGAACGCAATGCCTCGCAATGGTGAATTTGTAAACAAGCCCACAACTTTTATTTTAAAATATTTATTAAAGATTTTAAACAATACATCAGCCAACACATAAAACACCATCACCAACATAGAAAAAAAAAAGAGGAGAAAAAAAAGAAAGAAAAAAGGGCTTCCTCACATCCCCCTTTCCTGCGTTCCCATTTATAAAATTATATTCAGCAGTACTTCACCTTCTTTCAAGTCTTATTTTGTAATTATCAGAAATTTATGTCTCCAATTTTGAACTTTACTTTCAAATATATGGATCTTTAATTTTAACCTCCTATTTATCAAAATTTCAATCTTGTTCTTGTGATTTCATGCATCTTTCCATTAATTTGTTAGTGCCAGATTATTTTCTATCCTGCATCATCTTAACATTCAAACAGATTACAGTACTTTTGCAAATAGTCCTTGAACTTTATCCAGTCCTCTTCCACTGTCTCTTCTCCCAGGTCCCAGACTCTGCCAGTCATCTCTGCCAGTTCCATATAGTCTATCAGTTGCGTCTGCCATTCTTCCAGCGTGGGCAAATCTTGAGTCTTCCAGTGCTTTGCGATGAGTATTCTTGCTGCTGTTGTCGCATACATAAAGAAAGTCCGGTCCTTCTTAGGCACCATTTGGTTGACAATGCCCAAAAGGAAGGCCTCTGGTTTCTTAAGGAAGGTATATTTAAATACCTTTTTCAATTCATTATAGATCATTTCCTAGAAGGCCTTAACCTTTGGGCACGTCCACCAAAGGTGAAAGAATGTTCCTTCAGTTCCTTTACATTTCCAACACAAGCCCACAACTTTTAAAAGCCACACTTGTACTTCTGGCTATAATTGCTCTGACGTCCTCCAAAGAACTCTGGGAATATCTATTTTCCTGAGCGTACTTTTGCAGATTCCTAAACTCCGTGGTGGGGTGGGCAAAAAAGAAACCAGCTCCCTAAACTGCTGCAGAAATAATTACTTAGTGAGATTTCAAACAGATTAAAAGCAGAAGAAGCAACACACTAAAATTACAATGTCTAGCTTCAGGCAAAATCAGTTTTCTTTTGCTTTTTCATTCCCTGTTGCTGGGAATGGCAGAAAAGCAACCGAAACTTGCACAGGAGCCAACTCCTAGGAGGCCATGAAGAGTCTCGGACTTCTTCAGTAGCGAAACAGGTGACAAACGCCGGCACCCTGTCTAACTCTTGTGCGTAACTTCACCAACACTTCGTTTGATCAAACTTATCCTTGTTGATATCTACAGGAGCCTGGCTAAAGGAACCTTTAAAGACTGAATCTTCCTTTTGGGCACAATTTGAATGAGTTTTCTGTTTGTGGCTTCTGTAGTAGATCTTGTACATAGCTCTCTCAATTTTTGGATTATTAATATAAGATTTAGAACTTAGAATGGTTTTCTAGTGTTTTGTGTGCCGCTTATGTGCCGCTTACTTTATACTGGTCTACTACGAGAACTGGCAGCATAGGTTCATTTTTTACAATATTATGAGTAAAGCATGGAATCTAAAAACCCTACAAAGGGCATTCCGTGCATTCAAATAATTAAGGGTTCTGAATAAGCAATATTCAGATAATGAGAGTTTTGCTTCAGCTAGTATATACCAAAAATGGAAAAGAAAGTAAAATGTTAGATTAGTCATTGCCTTTCAAGAAGTTATCACCATCATACTTTACAAGAATTACCCAAAATCTGTCAGTCCCATTTCCTTTAATGAATCAGGTAATCTGGGTTAAAAACATTAATGTATTAAAAAAAAAAGTTTTTTTAAAAAGATGTAAGCATGCTTCCGTTCATTTTTTATACCATTTTTATACCAATTTTTTATACATTTTTAGTCCAGTACCTCTAACTTGGATGAACCCGACTGCTTTAATTTATAAAAATGGCAAGGGGCTGATTTTTTTCAAAGGCAAAAATAGCATCCAGGCACCCAGCGACTAAAAGGGGATCCACTGGAGTGAAGTGCCAGGGTGTGGGGTAATCCTCACCTGTGAAAATCTGTCCTCGCGTGTTTTGTCTGTAACTTTAGCCTCTGTTAAGCTATTCATTCTTTTATGTAAGTCAGAAGCCGCTGGCAGTGTTCAAGAGTAACCGGAGAAATCATGACAAGAGCATATGAGCGTACAGAGAACCCAGATGCATGATGGAGGTATCAAATGAATCTGGCATTCCAGGCTGACACACAAAATGAATGACTCGAATCTCAGAAGGGGGAGTTCCTCTGGGGCCAGATGAGGTTACCAGAGAAAGCCAGGGAAGCCCTCGCTGCCGTTGCATGAATTATGCATCTCTCAGATACTGCACATTTTTCAGGACTTCAGGGTGCAGTTGGTTTTCCACTCTGCTATTCATTAAAATCAAACGCATTCACTGTCGTCAGTGAAAACAAAACTCACCCCATCTTGAACCGTTGGAAAACATATTGCTATTAATAAAAAGCAGAAATTGGAATTTGCCCGTCTCCTGTTCAAAGTGCAACGTAACCGGACATTTGTTTTCCAAGGACGTTAACGTCTCGTGAAAAAATGGCAGTGATGACAATGGCACCGAGGACATAAGCCAAGGGGTTGGGGGGTCCCTCCACAATCGCCAACTATCAGAGTGTGAGGGAAATGGAGCGGCCAGTCCTGGAAAGTAGGTTTTCCAGCAGCAACGCTGAGTGGTCTCTCTTTTGGTGGTAATCTGGGAATCTGCAGTTATACAATAGCATTCTCCAAGACTGGGCTGCTGAAACAGATGACTTCATTCTCTTAAAAACAAGCGGATAAAAAGAAAGGAGGCAGATCTGGCAAAGGCTCAGTAAATAAAAATAAGAAGCATATGATGCAGGAGATTCATGTGAACAGAAAGTGACGTTGGCAGCCCCCACAAATAGAACTCCAGATAAAATTAGCTTTTGTCTAAATGTGGAAAGTGTGTAAATATAGTAGCAGGTTTCAATTTACTACACAAGCTCCAAGTTGCAGCCACCTATTACAGAGCTCGTGCGTCAGAGGGGAAAGGGGGCAGGGAGGGAGAGAGAAAGAGAGAAGGAGGAAGACAATGCACTCTGCAATTAGTAGCTTCAATGAGAGGTAAATTAATTTCCCCAGCTGTATTGTGGTTATTATTGCTGTTTAGAAAGTGGACAGGGGTAAAATCGCATTGAAGTGCAGATGTCAGCGTGGTGTAAACGGTACTTTAGAAAGGCCGAAGAGTGGAGGAACAACAAATACAGAGGCACCTTTTCAGGCAAGGAATTTTAATTGCAAACACAAATGCTTTGTAAGAAGAGTCCCTGGAAAATACTTTTGTGTCATTTAAGCTGCTGCAAATGACAAGAACAGACGCGTCTGAGTCCGTCTGCTCCAGACTGATGTGTTGTGGTGACACCTGGAACTAGAACTCGCATCAAGCTCTTAAGGTCTGCGCTTGGAGGAGCTAAAGTAAAGAGATTTCAGGAGGGGGAGAGATTCTCAGCCAGATTTAATAGCTTGCTTTAGAAAACAGTCAAGATTAAATTAACAAAATCTGGTGTATGAATGCTATAGTATGTGGAATCACTGGCAGTGTGTTGCTCTTGTGGGCGGGGGGGAAAGTGACACCTTTTCCAAATGGAAGCAGCTGTGCCAAAGGGGGAAATAGCAACAGGGGCCACTGGTTATTTTCATTTTAAGAGAAAAACACGTATTTCTGATAACCATCACCTTATAGAAAATGTCAACATCAGAACATAACTTATTAAGATAGATTTTTATTTATTTTTTATGAGTAGTGGTAGTATACTCATGCAAAATGGCAGGTTCCATGCTTCATGCTTCAAGCAGTTAGGGAAATGAGTAAAACATATCAGCTGCATTGAAATTGGTAGAACAACCTCACCGGACATGAGGAGTCTTAAAACGGACACACACAAATGAAGTAGCGCAGGCCCCAGTCACACCTCTTGACAAAGGGCATTCCATGACGGAGGGGCCACCACTGGAAAGGCCCCCTCCTTTGTTGCTACAAAGCGCAGCTCTGATAAGCAAAGCCCTTGCAGAAGAACTTCTGCAGATCTCAGAACACGGGCAGACAGGGACGGGAACTGGCACTCCTTCAGGTGCCGAGGGCTCCTGCAGTTTAGGGATTTAAAGGTAAGTACCAGCGTCCTCCTGCACATAGGCACCTCTTAGAAGAATAGCTATAATGATAACAAATGTGTTTAGCACTTCAAAATCCTGGCAGCCATATTCCACACTAGTTAATGCTTTTGAGTCATCGCTAATGACAGCCCCACATGTAATGCATTGGTGAGGCTTTTCGGGATTCCTGTGCCTCTAACTGAAAGTTTATTATTTGCAGACTCATCCCATTTCATTGCCTGTTAATCTCCGTTTGTGGGGATTCGTGGTGGAGAGTCTCTTAATGGCCTCGCAGTCGCTGCCTGCTCCGTGATGCTGTTAATTCATTGTCTCCAGTCGTGGCTTGTTTGTTTTAATAATAATAATAATAATAATAATAATAATAATAATATAATAGTGAAATAGTGCTTTAAAAATAACAAAGGGGTGGAGGATGATTTATTTATTTTTTGAGGTTGTATATTGTATTATATTGTAAGACGGCCTGGGGAAAGGATGTTTTCTTCTTCTTTTTCTGTGAAAGAGCAGGAATTCAAATGCTTAAAATATATATTGGATGGAGGAATGCCTGTGTTTAAGTACCTATCATGTCGTGCTTTTACAGGGCTCAAAAATATTATCTCAACAATCTTAAAATGGCCCTGTATGGTATTGGCAATATTAATATCCTCCTCACGCAAATGTGAGGCTGAGAACAAGTGGATGGCTGAAGGCCGTCTAGTGAGTCCATGGCCAACGTGAGGTTTAAAACAGGTCCTACAGACTCATAGCTTTAGCTTTACACCAGCTCTGAACAGGTGGGCTTTTTAAATATAAGGGCATGTTGTTGCCGTACACACAGATAATGCCTAACCTGAGGGAAGCAGTTTTAGGATGGAGGCCTCTGTGTCACACACTCTCATCAAGGAACTTTTTTCTGTTAAAAGTCAATATTGCAGAAGGTGTTTTTTGTTGTTTTTTTACCTTGACACATTAATTTTAAGAAACATTTCCCAGTGGACAAATTCAAAAGGCTGTCCATTTATTAGTGACTAAATCATTATCACCACTGTAAGTTATGTTGCACCTTTGGAGCGTTCAAAATATTTCACATATGTTACCACAACAATTCTGTCAATCTTTTTAGTACTAAGTAAGGGACACGGGTGGCGCTGTGGGTTAAACCACAGAGCCTAGGACTTGCTGATCAGAAGGTCAGCGGTTCGAATCCCCGCGACGGGGTGAGCTCCCGTTGCTCAGTTCCTGCTCCTGCCAACCTAGCAGTTCAAAAGCACATCCAAGTGCAAGTAGATAAATAGGTACCACTCCAGCGGGAAGGTAAACGGCGTTTCCGTGTGCTGCTCTGGTTCGCCAGAAGTGGCTTAGTCCTGCTGGCCACATGACCCGGAAGCTGTACACTGGCTCCCTCGGCCAATAAAGCAAGATGAGTGCCGCAACCCCAGAGTCGGCCACGACTGGACTTAATGGTCAGGGGTCCCTTTACCTTTACCTAATATCATTATCCCCATTTTGCAGATGGAAGACTGAGGCCAGGACATGAGTGGCTTGCATAAGGCCACTTAGTGTGCTTGTGGCTACAGCTCACAAAGTAGACAACATCTGGGAAACTCATGACCAGATTCCTTTAAATTCTGCTGTTTTAAAGTTTTAAAGCAGCCTTTGGTGCTACAGGAGGACATATTTAACTCTTCCCCTGAAGCTACTAACTAAGCCGGTGGGGGGTGGGGAGGAGCAGGGAACAGGAAACAGGACAGTTAAACCATATAAATGATACGGGTGGCGAGGTTAAGCACCCTTTCATTCCCGTGCTCCTTTCCAATCCTAGTCGGAGCCCTTTGTGGCATCTGTTTTGTCCCTCGGCCACTGTGCTGGCCTAGGTCTCAAGTACCGGCCCAATGAATAGCACTCCTAATAAATGGTGCTTCTAGCAGAACAATCCTGTGAACTGCTGAGCTGTTAAATCCATTTTCAGACCAGGTGCAGAAGCACTAACAAGCTGCCGTGTTGCATAGCCAGTGGCTTGCGAGTCAGTTTGGGTCAGTGCGCTGGTACATCTGCTGAGTCAGCTGCTTTCCTTACAGTTCCCATTGCTGGCTGTAAGTCCGATAGGGACTTTCCTAATACTGCTTTTCTCCTGGCAGCACTATGCCGTGGTGACTGGAGCAGCCGAGCGAATTCACCCCACCAAACATTCTCCACTTTGAAATAATGGCTGCCGATAGCAGTCATGGCACTACCCATCATTGCTGCGGGGAGAGCAGTTCCCAAATAGCGCATCCGTTCCATGTGTTCAGTTGCTCTCCTAACTTGCATCATTTGGGGAACAGGTGAGTTTCATTTTGCAGGTTCCCCGGGGAGGTTGATGGCCAAGATAAGTGAGAAACTGCAACAGTGGCAAAGATGGAATAGAAGAGAAGATAGGTTTGCTCCAGGCCAAAGACTGCCTTTGTGAGTCACATAGGAAAGTGAGGCTGCTCTGTTTCCTCCAATCCAGCTTCGCTCTGTAACAACTTCACTTCCCTTCTGCTAGCAATGGCCTTATAAGGCTTGTTCGGGCAATTTTGCAAGATGAATAGTTCCGTTATAATAAGTTGCCAAAATCTTAAATAATGATCTCTTACAAATCTTGCAAGAGAGGAGGGTTGGCTGCCTTACAACGTTCTGGCTAATGTACAAATTGAAGCTACAAACTCCCACCGCTGCCGGCACCAAAAAAGGAGCTTCCTGGGAAACATCAGGCAGGCTCTTAAGATTCGCAGCTTAGCATTATCAGAATCTATTTAGTCAGCTTCAAATACCAAAACACATTTGAGGGACTCTGGACTTCAAAACCTCAAGAAATCTCAAAGCTGTAGTGTTTGTGTTGTTGTTGTTTGGACTTTTATCCCACTCTTCTTTCCAAAGAACTCAGGGTACAGCATCATAAGTTAACGCAATATAATGGGGAAAGTATTACAAAAATTTAAAACAACTAAAAACAGATTTTCAGGATCCAGGAAAGGTCAGAGTGGGAAGCTGAGGGCAGCAGCACTTCAGGAAGCAATTCTCAGATTTCTCAAGCCACACCGTCAGAAACGGGGGCTGAAACTGCCCCCCTCCCAAGCCAATTTTTCTGCAAGGACCCCCACCCCAGATTTTGGCTGCATCAGCAAAAGTATTTTTTCCCTAAAGGAAACATGGTGTTTGGGTGTGTGGAGCCCAGGGGTCAGCAAACTTTTTCAGCCGGGGGCCGGTCCAGTGTCCCTCAGACCTTGTGGGGGGCCAGACTATGGTTTTTTTTGGGGGGGAGGGGCAAATGAAGGAATTCCTATGCCCCACAAATAACCCAAAGATGCATTTTAAATAAAAGCACACATTCTACTCATGTAAAAACACACTGATTCCCGGACCATCTGTGGGCCAGATTTAGAAGGTGATTGGGCCGGATCCGGTCCCCGGGCCTTAGTTTGCCTACCCATGGTAGAGCCCATCATGCCCTACCTTGAGCTGGCCCCGATTCTCAGCTGGTGTTTCCTTTCCCTTACATTTAAGTCAGCTGGTTCCTCTCCTGAGAGAACAGTCCCAGGGCTGCCTCCTGTCACCAGCCGGCCCTGATGCTGTTTCCCCCACCCCTCTGTTCCACTGCGCTCCCTCAGGTACAAAGTTTCAGGCGAACATTACAGAAGTCGCAGAAAGGAAAAGAATACACACGCATCAGCTTCTCTGCTGGGATTATTTTGGCCGCATCCTGTTCTAAGGTTAATCTTTCTCCTGCAAAGTATGCTTATGTTCCTGATGTTTATTTATTGCATTTACGGTCATACCTCGTGTTGCGTTTGCTTCAGGTTGAGCGTTTTCAGGTTGCATCCCGTGGCGACCTGGAAGTAACAGAACAGGTTACTTCCGGGTTTCGCCACTCACGCATGCGCAGACACTCAAAATGATGTCACGCGCATGAGCAGAAGCGGCAAATCACGGCCTGCGCAGATGCG